GATTGGCAGGATTCCGTCTTTTCTTCAAATGGGGTTGCAGAAGAATTTGGCTGTTGGTACCATTAATGGCCAGGTAACGGCATTTGCTATTTTTTTTCCCAGAGGCCCATTGCATCTCACTCTCAATCTGCTTTTTACCAAAGGTGGTTTCTGGTTTTCATCTCAATCAGGACATAGTTCTGCCTTCGTTCTTTCCTAGGCCTCAGTCAGCAAGAGAGAGATCTCTACATACCTTGGATGTGGTTCATGCTGTAAGGGTCTTCTTGAAGTCAACAGCACAGGTCAGGAGGTCAGAGGCTCTTTGTGCTGCCAGAGGGGCGTAGGAAGGGGCAGGCGGCATCCAAGGCAACTATTTCTCATTGCATCCGCCAATTGATTATTCAAGCCTATGGGTTTTTTTTTTTAAGTAAAGTCCCACCCTTTTGGGTGAAGGCACACTCCACCAGGAGTGTGGGGGCATCTTGGGCAATCAGGCATCAGTGGCTCAGGTTTGCAAAGCCTCTACGTGGTCTTCGGTTCACACATTCACAAGGTTCTACCAGGTGGATGTCCGAGCTGCAGAGGATTCTTCCTTTGGCCACAGTGTTTTACGGACAGCTGAGTAGGACCTGAGGAATTTACGGTGGCTATCATGGTGTCACCCTCCTCTCAATATTGCTTTTGGACATCCCACATAGTCATGAAAAGCCTGCTCTGTGTCCCGTGATGTACGATAAAGAAAATTTGATTTTTTTTTCTACATACTTACCTGTAAAATCCATTTCTTGGAGTACATCATGGGTCAAAGAGGTCCCACCCCTCTTTCTGGAATGTCATTGCATGCTACACAAACTGAGGTACTTCTTTATAGGATGGGTTATATAGGGGAGGACCTCCTCTCTGATTGGTCAACCAATGTCTTCACCTATAGGTGGCCTATAACCCACATAGTCATGAATAGCCTGCTCTGTTTCCCATGATGTACTCCAAGAAATGGATTTTACAGGTAAGTATGTAGAAACAAATCAGAGTTTTGCATGTTGGACTTTGAGATGTTCATTTTGCACTTTCAAGTAAAGCTCTGAAACTTTGTTCCCACCTGCTCTAAAGTTACAAAAGAGGTGTAATGCAAGTAACCGGCACCTTTGGTCTAACGTTTTGGTCATGTAACACACTGGGGTATGAAGACAGCCCTGCAAGAGTTAACACAGTGTAAAGTGCAAGTCAGTGGTCACCTAGGGGTAATGAAAATTTTAAAAGTAGCCTGCCATTAGCGTGTACCCGTAATAGGTGGGCCAGCCTCTAGCAGCAAGGGAGATGTTGGCAGCACTCCTTCCTCCAGCAGTCTGTCTCCCATAGTAACAGGAGTGGATCTGCATCTCCAAGACAGGGGCGGATTGACAACTCATGGGGCCCCCGGGCAATAGGGTATCATGGGGCCCCTGTGTCCTTGCCCAAACTCAAAAAAGCCTATGAAAAATGTACCAGGGGCATCTCATGGGGCCTCCTACTGACCACCCCGGGCCCTCGGGCAGTGCCCGAGTTTCCAAATGGTCAGTCCGCTCCTGCTCCGAGATCTCCATCCTGTTAAGAAGTACAGATGTTCAAGTGCAAGGTTAAGTGCACGTGTGGAGCCCACACAAGGTGCACAGCAGGGGCCCACTCCACTACTGGGGAATGGTAGTGGAAAACACTTGACAAGTGGTTGTGGACAGGCCTCAGCGTGTCCCTCCTAATTTGCAAATTACAGATGAAGGATCACTGTGACAAACTCCTGCTCTCCTACCTAAAAACTAATACCTACCAACAAAGGTAAAGCTGCTACATACAATCATATACCCAAAGACAAAAAATATAAATGAAACACAAATGATGCAGCGCTACTACCATAAAAATTCTTCACACATAAATGAATAAGTGAAATAGTGCAAAATTAGTGACACAAATAACATAAACACACAATATTAAATAGTGCCAAAAAACTCAAATAATCACGTGTGACAAGTGTCAATACAAGGTCATAAAAGGACCAAATAACATAAATGGTGCCCCAAGTAATCCAATGGGATCCAATAGTGCTCCAAATCAAATAAGTAAGTCACAACAGGACTCAATGTGCTAAAAAAACCTCCCACCGGAACCAAAAATCAGTTCCCACCATATAACACAAAACACACGTGCATCCCAATAAACGCATAAACTAAGAACTGATCATGCAAACAAACATGAATAAATATATAAAGTCCCGTGAGCTGTAAAAAACACCTGACAATATACAAAAAAACATATATAAAGTCCACATCAATTCCTGAAGAAAAAAAAAATGCTGATAAATGTGCAGAGATATCCAAAAATGGCTGAATTGCCCACTCACCTCCCTCTTGCGACCCGCACAGGGTCAAAAGGCCTTCAGGATCACTAACACATGGACCCTTAATAGTAGGTAATCCTCCACAGCTCTCCACACTGACCTCCCCTCATGTACAGATTCCAGCACAGGATCACAGGGCAGCAGATCTCCTCTTCAGGCACATAAGGTGGCTGCAGCCACTTGATCCCTCAGATCAGATGTACTTGCATGGGGTCCAATGTAAATAAAGAAGGCGTCCTACCGGAAGTGCGTCACCGCCAACACGTATTGTCACGCTTAACACGTGACTTCATCAGGGCCCACGTCGGATGCACGTGTGTTTTGTGTTATATGGTGGGAACTGATTTTTAGTTCCGGTGGGAGGTTTTTTAGCACATTGAGTCATGTTGTGACTTGTTTGATTTGGAGCACTATTGGATCCCATTGGATTACTTGGGGCACCATTTATGTTATTTGGTCCTTTTAGGACCTCGTATTGATACTTGTCACACGTGATTATTTATGAGTTTTTTGGCACTATTTAATATTGTGTGTTTGTTATTTGCGCCGCTAATTTTGCACTGTTTTACTTATTCATTTATGTGTGAAGAATTTTTATGGTAGTAGCGCTGCATCATTTGTGTTTCAGGTATATTTTTTTGTCTATGGGTAAATGACTGTATGTAGCAGCTTTACCTTTGGAAGGATGTGCATTTCCATAGGGACCCGAGAATAACTGGAGGACTGTTATGGTGCAAGTGTACACAGTGTATCGGCCATCAATTATAACGGAGGCCCACCTTAAGGTCAGGTATTCCACCCATGGCGGTCTAAGCATTGTCCCAAGGCATCAATGAAGCGGCACAAAAGTAAAGGTAACCCACGTGTCGGATGGACCCTGTCTCAGGTGCCTACCCACATGGAAGAAAAATATATTTGAAATATATTGATATATTGACATATATTTGAAATGCTACAATTTTGGCCATACCTTTTTTATATATATATATATATATATATATATATATATATATATATATATATATAGTATATATATATATATATATATACCGTATTTTCCGGCGTATAAGACGACCCCCCCTACTTTTCCTGTTAAAATATAGGGTTTGGGATATACTCGCCGTATAAGACTACCCCTCTACCAACCAATCACGGCAAGCGATGTACCAGTATTTTCTGTGCACACTGCATACAAAGCCTGCTTGGATTGGGTGGGTCAGCTCTCCCTGCCTGCCCAGCCCTGCCTGTCTCCAAGATGATCCGAGCGGTACCATAAATTGCACAAAACTGCCACATTATAATATTAATAATTAATTACCGTATTTCATAGAAATGAAGGGGACAAGGTCGGATGCAGCAGTACCATACCGGTACTTCCGTGCTGACGCTTCTGCGCATGTCTTCGGCAGCAGTAGACGATCGCTGATCACCATTCCTCGCAGAACTGCATGAGACGTCGGATGCAGCCGTTCAGTGCTCGATTGATCGTGACTGAAACTGTGACATGCGCAGAAGCCGCTACCCGATGTGTATCCCTTCTCTGCATATCACAGTTTCAGTCAAGCTCAATCGAGCACTGAACGGCTGCATCCGACGTCTCATGCAGTTCTGCGAGGAATGGTGATCCGCGATCGTCTACTGCTGCCGAAGACATGCGCAGAAGCGTCAGCACGGAAGTACGGTAAGGTTTCAGCCCAGCACCCGGCGTATAAGACGACCCCCGACTTTGTAGAAGATTTCCAGGGGTTAAAAAGTCGTCTTATACGCCGGAAAATACGGTATATATATAATACTTTTTTATTCCAAAATATCTGAAAAAATATTTTTAAAAATGATTTCAAATATACTGTCTTTTAAAAATACAAATCTACATTTTTGGAACACATTCATTTACAAATATATGTAGAAATATATGTTAATGACTTTTTTATATGTTTAAAAAAATCTGAAGAATACATTTAAAAAAAAATATATATTTTTAAAATATATTCAGTTTTTTTAAACATATAAAAAAGTAATTTTAACATTTTTACATATATTTGTAAATGTATTCCAAAAATGTAGATTTGTATTTTTAAAGACCTACAGTATATTTGAAATCTATTTTTAAAAATATATTTTTCAGATATTTTGTAATATCCCATTTCAACATGGTGTGTGTGTGTGTGTGTGTGTGTGTGTGTGTGTGTGTGTGTGTGTGTGTGTGTGTGTGTGTGTGTGTTTTATTGAAATATATTGAATATGGCCCAAATTGTAGCATTTCAAATATATGGCAATATATTTGGGAAGAATATTTTTAAAATACATTTCAAATATATTTTTCTTCCATATGGGTAACGTAGCCAGGAAGAACCCAACCCAGGGGTAGTCCTCTCATGTGACCCACAAATGTTGTCCAATGAGCTAACAATGAACATGGAGGATGGCCTCTACCCTTTACGAGCCTGTGACTGGACAGTTACATTTTTCCTCTTTCAAAATCCATCTCAGTGTCTTGTGTGACTCTGGTGATTGGTTGTCAAAATCAAAGCTACCCGAGAGCATGTGTGTTGAGACCGAACAGTGGTGTAACTGTCATAGACCTCTTCACTTTTATGTATCTTAGAAACCTGCTAGATAAATGTTTTGACCTCTTCATCTGTCCCCTCAGCGCCGCACCCTGTGAAGCCCATCAGCGCCGCTCCATCAGAACTGGCCCCTGAAAAGAAGGCACAGAAGCCGGTTTTGTCCACAGCATTGACCAGCGGTCTGGAGATGCTGAAACATGTGACCATAGGACAACATCCATCTAGCAAGAAGCAGGAGATGGACCGACTCAAGGTGAGTTGTGATGTGTGTTTATGGCATTGTTTTTTAATCAGGGTGCTGTGGCACCATGGAGTGCCATTTGAGTTCCCCCAGTGTGCTGTAAGGAGAAGACCCAGTTTGCCTTGGATCAGAGATGGTTGAGAGGACCCAGTGATCCAGAGACGACTCTGATTTGATTTGGGGGCTCTGAAGGGGGAAATCTGTGGTGATAGTGGGCATTTGACATATCAGGGGAACTTTGATGTGATGGGGGACTCTGACATGATGGCTGCATGGGGCTGGCAGCACGGCTGGAGGGAGCCTACTGGAACATGGAACAAGGCAAGTACATACTCCTTATTCCAGCGATAGGCTGGATTGTTCCCTCCCACTGCTTGTAATAGCAATCAAGCGGCTAGTTAGCTGCTCCAACTGCTATTACAAGAGAGCCGACTGTCGGTACAGAATGAACGGTACCACGTGAAGTCCAGTGATGTACCAGGTATGTGACTGGTCTGCAAAATGTACCTGCATTGTGTAAGTTGCAAACAAGGAGACTAGTCACCAGTATTGTCTTTGTTTAGGCCATCTTGGAAGGGGCAGGGCTTTTTCTGTTGAAACCCCCTCTCCCTTCCAAATGATTAATGAGGGATCACTCAAGGAACAGCAGGAGAGGTGGAGGAAGCCAAGTTCTACAGACTGAATGAAGTAGATGGAACCTTGCCCTGAAGGTTCCTGGGTTCAGCTTCTAGGCGCCACTGCTCCAGTGATTTCCACTAGCTTCCGGGTTTATGCCGAGAGGCTACCCTGCTGCATTGTGAACACAGGAGGTCTTTTGCTTGGCATGGGCGCCATTCGTGGAACATTTTTTTTTTTTTTTTTCTCTCAATGAATGCAAAACATTCTTTGATTGGACAAGGCAGAGAGGCGGGGCAGTAATGTCACAGTTGCCAACTCGTCCAATTAAAGAACAGTTTGCATTCTGCTCCTTATGGGACCTGGAAGCTAGCGAGATCACGGAAGTAGTGGTGCCTGCTAGAAGCTGTGCCCAAGGATCTTCCGGGCAAAGATCTCTACTTCATTTTGTGGAACATTGCTTCCTCCACCTCTCAACTGCTTCTTGAATATTCCCCATAGCCATCAGATTATTGGCCAGGTATGGCACATGCATACTTGCACTGGTCCAAGCTCCCAATGTAACTACACTCACTGGCCACTTTATTAGGTACACCTTGCTAGTACCGGCTTGAACCCCCTTTTGCTTTTAGAACTGCCTAAATTCCTCATGGCGGAGATTCAACAAGGTGTTGGAAGCATTCCTCAGAGATTTTGGTCCATATTGAAATGATAGCATGCCCTGACCTTTTGACTTCAACAAGGCATTTTCGTGTCCACAACTACCATTCTTTGTAAACCCTGGCGATGGTTGTGCATTAACATCCCAGTAGATCAGCAGTTTTTGAAATACTCAGACAGCCCTCCTGGCACCAACAACCACGCCACATTCAAAGTCACTTAAATCCCCTTTCTTCCCCATTTTGATCGGGTTTGAACTTTAGCAAGTTATCTTCACCGTGTCTAGATGCCTAAATGCATTGAGTTGCTGCCATGTGATTGGCTGATTAGCAATTTGTGTTCCCAAGCAATTGAACAGGTCTACCTAATGAAGTGGCTGGTGAATGTATGCAAAAATATACCATGCGTGGAATTCTTTAAGAACTTCCCCTTGCTGTCATTATCCATCCAGCCTGAGAATATGTCCACCTTAGTCAACCAACCAAGTGCGTAGTATGTGGATGAAAGTGGCCTCAGCCAGCAAAACTCCAGCCAATGCCCCCTGACATGTTTCGCCCCACTCACTGGGGCTTGGACACAGAGGTGACCTACTACTGCAGAGAGTTGGTGAGCGTCGCCTTTTCTTCTCTGATAATGCTCCTACATCTCTGAATTTTGCACTGGTGCCAGCTCCCTTCACTGCAACCGGCGGGGAGATCTCTGTCTCAGCTTACAGCGGCATTGCAAGTTTCATTTGGATCACCAAATTCTGGAGAAGTGGCAGAAGCTTGCAACACTGCAGGTGGACCACGTCATTCAACAGGACTTTGCTTATTGCTTCTGGCAATCCTTCTTGAGACTTAACCATATGGGTTAACTTCAGTTTTAAACTGTTAAAGCTTTAACCCACCTCTTGTGCTGACCCACTACTGAAAATAAAAATGACAATGACCTTTGGGGGAGGAGTCAATGCTAGTGCAGGATCAGAGCAAGTGTGGACTAAATGACGTTGGCCTTCGTTCAACTCCAAAAAAGGAAGCCATCTGTTGGAGCAATGGATGTTCTGCAGGGGATGGCACCAGATAGAAGGTAAGTATTGAAGTGAAGGCTCTGTTGGTGGTGGTGAGGTCCCCTTTGTTTCCCTTTTTTTCCCTATTGTATTTTATCCGCTTATTTTGCTGCAATTCAATTTTGGTAATTTTTCATTTTGTTTAAGCTGCTGTTTGTCCTTTTTTAGACCTTCTTGACCTAGGGGTCTTCTTTCCCTAGGTTTTTCTTCCCTTTTTCTATATTGAGGTGAAAGCTGCCTTTATTTTTAGAAATGCTCAGCTGTTCTTTCTTTCTATATATTTTTTTTTTTTTTTTCCCCAAGGCTGGAGTTTTGCCTTTAAAATAGGTGCTGGTTGAGCATCTAGGATACAGTATATAAGACTGTAAGAGAAATATTCCCATATACATTATGGTAAGGCTTTGGAACCCAATACCCAACACGTAGTCAGCAACATTAAAAGCCAACCTGCTCCCAGTTTATCCCAATTTAAGGTGACTGCAGGCACCCCAAAGTGCCATCTCATACCACCGGCTTGTCAGGCACATGCCTCAGTCATGGCTCAGACACCTGGCTGCATTGCACGCTGAATGCACGTGTCACTTGGTAACTCTTAGAGACTTGTGACATGCCATCTGTACAGGGTCTCCCCGCAGTATTCCCGACCCCCCCGTATTGGAAGTGGTGATAAATTTAATTATCTAACTCCCAGAGTGTGGCAGGGTGGAGGAAGCCTGTAGGATGGAGGTCTCCGATGTCATATAATTGTCCCCGGTGTCACACGGGCTGCATGATGAGATGTGACAGGGTGTGACAAGTTTAATGAACTCTGCTTACACTGCAATATGCTGAAAATTCTCCACGGATCTCCCAGAACCCCCTGAGAGCTGGAGGTTATTTTAGCTGCTTGTCCCAAAGGTGCTCTGTGTGTTTGTGTGTATTCTGTATAGATATAGTATTAATGGACATTACACTGGCACTATAGTTCTTTAAGAGAACTATATCACCTGGTGATGGTGGTGGTCAGCATACATAAGGGGGTTGTGAGACCATAACGGAGATCAGCCTAGGACTTTAAAGCTGCAATGCCATATCCATCCAGGCGATAGACATACATTGTTATATACCTTTTTGGCCAAAGTTATGTGGACAACCCTCCAAATGATGGTGCTTTCGTGCTTCCAGTGAAAGGTACAGTTATTGCTACAGCCTACATATCAGTTTTAGACAACTGTGCGCTTCCAACCTTGCAGCAAGTTTGGTGGTTGTCCTTTTCTGTGCCCCATAACTGCACCTTTGTGTGCACAATCTGATCCAAAAAGACATGGATTGATGAGTGTGGTGGGGAGCTACTCAAGTGGCCTGAACAGAGCTCTGACCACAACGTTGCTGAACACCTTTTGGGATGATTCAGAATGCAAATTGCAAGCCAGGTCTACTTACCCTGCCTTAGTACATGAGCTCTACTCGCCACACCTTAGCACCTGAGCTCGCGAATACTGATTGGGCAGAAATTCCCATAGACACTCCAAATCTTCTGAAAAACCTCCTTGGAACAATGCTGCAAAGGAGGAGCAACTACATATTAATGTGCATGGTTTTCAAATTGGATGTTCAACAATTTCATGTAGAAGTGATGGTCAGGTGTTTGCATATGTTCTGCTGTGTTCTCATTTGGTTTTGGCATGGAATGTCCAACAAGCTCATATGAGAGTGATGGTCACGTATTCACATACATTCTGCTGTCTCCTCATTGAATTCATCAGGAAGACAGCAGATGGCTCTGAGAATGCTCAAAAAAGTGATCAATGTATTTTGCATAATGACAGAAAATACAAAGATGGTTACATTTCTCATTTCTTTTTTTATGTGTTTAGAGTGAGACATATAATTTAATCTAATGGCCTTCCCATGTGCTCAGGCACATGGGAAGGCCTAGGACACTCGGTGATCAATGTTTTTCGTGTAATGATAGTACAAAGCTGGTTACATTTTTCATTTCTTTTTTATATATATATGTAATTAATCAAATGGCCTTCCTATGTGCTCAGGCAAGGCCTCTTTTAGACTTGTACATGTAGAAGTTGGAGTTGCATTCAAACATTTTTTCTTATTTCTTTTAGGATGTGTCCTCTCCAGACCAGGCAGCCAGATATTACCACCTGACCCATGATGAGTTGATCCAGATGTTGCTGCAGCGAGAGGCCGAGCTGCAGTATAAGGATATCCACATGCGGGAATTGGAAGACTACATAGACAAACTTCTGGTGCGCATTATGGACCAAGCACCTGCACTTCTCCAGGTTCCTCTGGAGACCAAGAAATAAAAGCCAAGATGGGAGAGACCTGGTAACACGAGTGTGGCCATATGACACGGTGGTAAAAAGGTCTCCCAGTTAAAGTCAAATACTGTATCCCCTGTGGATAAGTAACTGTTAAGCTCACATTGGTTGAGGACTCCTAGCCATGACTTGTACAGGTGGCCTTCAACTCTTCTGCCATAAGAGACAACAATATGGTGCTGAGCATCCTTTCAACTCATTGAAGCGCAATCATAGCTCAGTTTCACTCTTGGATTATTATACAGTATATCTTCAGCCTGGCCTAACACTGCGCTTAGTTTACACTCCACAAGATTAATTCAAGTATTAAAGGACTGCTATAGCTTTACTTATGTTAGAGCTGCTAGTGACACCCACGGCTATGTATGTTAAAGTCCTCACACTTGTACTCTGGAGAGTGATATCTGACGATGATGCCCAAATAACTGCCCTCCCAACCTATGCCACTTCTGAGGAACCTTGCATATTGATGAATGTTTTTACGCATACACACACCAATTTATAAAATGCATTTTATTATGTCTAGATTGTGCATACATTTATCTAGACTTGATAGCATTCAAGTGTCCCAGATAGCTGTACGCTTGTGTTATCACCAATCTTGTGTCGCTAGGCTACATCCTGAACTTTTCTTAAGCTGTCTCCATAGATTCATACATATTATATCCCACATTTTATGCCACTGGGCCCCTGCCCAAACATCTTCAGGTAGTTTACTTATTAGGCCTCAACCTTGAATAGGGTGATAAGTCCTTAAGTTTGACAGCCAGCGATCTAAGTAATCCTTCACATTCTTGGCTAAGTGACTGCTGTAAATTCAGTTTAACAGTCTTGATTCCTTCCGCCCGTTGAGGTTCTTTTTGGTGTTGTCGGTTAGGGACAACTTGTTCTACAGCTTACTTAAAGCTGCCACAACCTTGAGCGTTTCAAACTGACCATAAGATGAAGAAAATGTGCAAAATGTTCCCATCATTGGAAAGTCCTGGTCAGTAGGTCCAGAGATTTAGGGGTCTTAAGTTTTTTTGTATTCAAATCTGAAGAGTTAAGCACTTGACCCTAATCGCTCCCAACTCTGAACCAAACCTGGTAATCCTTTAACATTATAGTGGGGTCTCATTGTCCAGTACAGAGACTTCAGCTGATGGGAAGTACAAAAGTTCAAGCTTGACTTTTACAGGAGCAGTCAAGTTTCGCATACAACTTCCGCTGCTTGCATCTCTGGACAGTGCTGGGACAAGGTCCTTTTGCACCCAACCTGAAAAGGCCAAAGTTTTCCTACCCATGTGCTGTGATCAGCGGCAAAGGTTGCAGGTCCTACCCTTTTTGCATCCCCCCCTCCTTCTGAAATGCCCAAGGTGGCCACCTTTTCTGCCTGCCCCTCAGTCCAACCCTGGATCTCTTTTGATACTCGGTTTTAACTGAAGGTGCTGTTCCTGCACTTTTCGTTATTTTTAAGGTTGAAATGCCCATGTTTGTGACAGGTTTGCTTTAAATGGAATAAAAATGCAACAAGGCTGTTATGTTTGATGAAGAATGATCCATCATAGTGCCTGCTGCATGCTATTTTTTACTGCAGCAAAGCTATTCTTGTACCATGTTGAGACACCATGCTATGTATTTCAGTAGCCAGCATGTCATACAAGTTGTAGAAGTGTTTGTCTAGACAACCGTGGATTCAGCTATTGCACATTGACTGTCTATTATGTTTACCAATTGGCTTCAGAACTTTAGTCACAGGCCTATGACACCTGTTGCAGGTGAGTGGCAGACCTGGGAATGGTATTGCAGGTGACTGGAAGACCTGGGTTTGCGTATTGCAGGTGACAAAACACAGATATTCTTATCTGCCTTCTTATTCGGGGTAAATGACTCAACGTCAAGTTGGAGGGGTCAACATGATGGACAACAACCATTTGTGAAATAGTGCAGGGCCAGCTTCCATGTTTCTCCCAGAAAATGTCTCTTACTGCGCTGTACATACACAATAGTCCCATTGTTATTGACTCTGTTGATCTTTCATTTTTAGGGATCCCCTGCATCGCAGTGGGGTGACACATGGCACCTGGATGCTTATATTACAACTGTAGGGTTTGTTTGCAGTTTTAATAACAATTACAGCTTCTCTTCAAACCTGGTGTGGTAATTTTGATCTCATACCTTGGTGTGCTTTGCTGCTATACCCATCACATTATTTGCCTTGTGATTGCACACTGACCCTCTCGATACACAACATTGCTTTATTTGGCCAGGTCTCGGTGCAGAGTGATGGGTTCACACAAATTCCAGCTTACTAAGATTTATTGCAGTTTTCTTCATGAAGTTCTTTCTACTTTCTCCAAAGAGTTTTAGGTTTTCTTCTGCCATAGTTTTAAATTCTGTAGCATGGCAGGAAGCTTTGCCATTACAGTAGCCAATCCTCATACTGCGATGTTGGTATAGGTGTGAAATCTAATTACATTTTATATATGGGCCACCCTGGACAGAGGAGACCTGTACAGTCCCTTTACAATAGTCAGAGACTACTTGAGAGGCTGGTTCACTGATATTTCAGTTTTGGTGGATGGACGAACAAACTCCAGTAGAGCAAATTCATCATCAAGGACTATGAGAAGTCCGCATCCTTGAGTGAGGCTGTCTGCTATTTTAGGTGTGGGATAAGCCTTCTGAACTTCCTTTCTCCAATCCAAGGGGAGTGCCTTGGTGGCCATTAAGGGAACTCTTTGGACAGGTTGTAGGCCAGCAGTTTGGCCTAAGCCAAAAAGTAAGAAAAAAGTCATACTCTAGTAACAAAGTGTAATTAAATCAGATAGGCAAACCTATAGAAGGCCTTTCTGGCCAATGAAGGTTGGGGCTTACAACTTATAGCATCCTTTCTCAACTTTTTTACTTGAGGAACCCTTTGAAATAATTTTTGGCTCTCAAGGAACCTCTGCTGAAATTAATTAATTGTGGGTCAATTAAAAGAATGCGCCTTTCATTGATCTATGGGAAGAAGAATGCCTATTACATTGGTGGCCAGTGGTAAGAATGACCCTTATAGACTGCCAAAAAGATCATTGCTGTCTTGTTGCTTGCTTTTCCAAGTAGCACTAGACCTGGAAATATGATGACACCATCAAAGTGGAGGTCAGTTGGCCGCAGCTCAGGAAACCCCAAGCAACCCCTAGAGTAACTCTTTTGTTCCACAAAACCCTGTTTGAGATTGGATGCTTTGGAGTAACTACTCATTGGAAAGGGTTTCTTCATCAACCGTTTAAATCATTTAAGTAATGTCATGGAAACCTCCAGCAATTCCCCCAGTTTATTTTATATGAAACCTTGTGAAATATACAAAACACTAGATGTACAGCAATTGCAACTGTGTGTGATGTTAGATTGTTACAGAGCAAACCATCCCTTTTAGCGTGGACACTAAACCACAGGCAACCATATTTTTATCAGTCTACAGTTTTGGCCTCAGGGTGATTTCAAAGGGTGGGTGGTTAGGCTTTATACTGTTCTACACTTACCCCGATAAACTTACTGACAGCAGCTTGGCTTATTGTTTGAAAAAGTGTACTAGGGTGTATACAGTGGCTGACCATTTATCATATTTTGTTTCTGCTTATGGAAATTAAGTGGCCAGTCCACCTTTAACTGGTATTTGCTGGGGACTTGTACTGCCGGCTTTATAGATGTTCTGGCTGCAGCCATCATGAGGGGGCTCCCGCTTTTCCTCCTGGATTTTTATTTTGGGGAACACAGCAGGGGAAGTGGGTACATCTCATGGGGGGTCAACAAGGTCAACATTTATTTAAGGTCAACAAGCATCTGTTCGATCCTTCAAAAACTGAAATATGGCTTCAGAAGGACAGTCTACTCACAAGCAGCTCACAGTATGTTTCTCATGAGTTTTTTTCCAGCCCTACCGCTCAACGAGCATCTATTCACTCCTTCAAAAACTGAAATATGGCTTCAGAAGGACAGTCTACCCACTTGCAACTCACAGTATATTTCTCATGAGTTTTTCCAGCCCTACCACCTACCCTTTTCCTTTTGGAGATTCTCTCTTCTTGCTTCCTTTTTGTATAAAGTAATCTGAATGAAAAAAAATGATGTACATAATGCTGTATCAGCATTGCACTTCTTGCATCAGCACAATTTAATTTTTCTTTCTAACGTGTATATATTTGTGTTGGAAAGGCAAATTTATGGCTTAGCAATAACTAGGACTTTGTGCCGTATTCAGAGCTTTTGGTTACCTGCAAATGCTGACTTGTTTTAAAAGTGGTGGCTTCAAAACCGTAATTCTTACGCTAGCTTTTCTAACTGGTAAGCTGCCGACTTGCATTTTTGGGGTCAGAAACCTGATGTACAGATGCTTGTTCTGGACCAGTGGCTGGTCAAATAGAGGAGCTAGAATGAGGATGACAGGAATGGCAGCTGAACCTTTGATAACAAGTTGGCAGTGCCCATACTTGATCACAACTGATGACTTGTAAAGGCATCATGTGACCTTGTCATCGCAGCTTGGCCAGGACCATAGTCTGTACTGTTCTTTTAGTTCTGGTGATGTTGCTTAATCTCCTTTTTAATATTTCTGCAGCATATGCTGCATTCTCATGGCTTGGCCCTCCTGGATGTTATGATCCTGGCAGAACTAGCAGTGTCTTTTATTTGGACTGCATCAATGTCAGTAGCTTAGTTCTTAATGGAGTATGAAGACTTGGTTGTATCAAGCAGTCTGTGGAGTGTAGCCTGTCCTGGAATGGGTGAAACAAACTTAAGAAACCAATGGTGGGATTTACATGCATTTCACATTGAGACAGTGATATCCTCCCTGTGTATTGGCCACGCAATTTGGTTCAAGGCTGTTTTATGATCTGCTTGTATTAAACTCCGTAATCCATTACAGGTTTTCTGATTTTAACAAAATATAGTACTGCAGTTGTGCAAATTTTTAGCACTGCAATTGAGCAACTTGAACTAAAACTGTGCTGACTATA